CTAATTTCTTTTAAACTATCAGTAAGGTTATTTAAGTGGGTATTAAGTGGTTTTTAAACATATAATATGAAATTATATAAACTATAATCACATTTTTTGTTCATATTTGGTATTTGCTGTGACAGAAGTATTTATTTAAAATGGAAGTGAAATCGATGTTAAGTGAAAAGGGAAACAACTTTTATTAGTGAACGGTGAAAAATGTTAGGGAACACTGTAAAAAGATATTTGTAAAATGTGGGAGAGGAAAAAACCCAGATGTCACCTACTCGACGAATTCCTTTACGCAATTATCACAACCCGGAACAACACTGTTCCTTTACGCGTTTAGCGGTTATGATACAACATCCAGCACCTTTTGGCAAAGGAAAAATAAATTTCTATCGACAATAAATAAACAACTACGCTTCGAACAAAACGTAGAGGTTTTCCTGAGCTTCAATGCCACATCTGAGCAAATTGCCGACGCAGGAGAGACCTTCCCCAGGAGAGACCTTATTCGTTTCACTTTATGGAAACAACTGAGAATCGCAAAATTTTAGCAATATTCGCTTCCAGTTGTTCACTATGGCGACAGTTAAGCCCAACATGAACTTTGCCAGATTTCTTCCAACCAGGGATGCTGCAAGATTTTACTATCTGCGAACATACCACCGGGAGAGAATAAGTGTTTTGCTTGTATTTTTTTCTGCTTCAGACCATATGGTTCCTTATTTTGTTTTTGATTTTGTTCCAGGTACAAAAGTGGCTGGGAAATGAGAAGAATCTTCTCGATTGGGGCTGAATGTGGAGTGCAAAAGGCCACGTTCCTCAATAGATGATGGCACCATAAGCTCTGCTAAATATGATTTTCTGTAACTGCACAAAAGGTTGTATCAACAGTTGTCGTTGCAGGAAAGCAGGACTAAAATGCTCGGCTGTTTGCAGCCACTACACTGCCCAATCTAGCGGGAACATACCAAACCTGATATGTAAGAACACTGATGAACTATTCATTGATGACACACCATCAAATGACGATTATGACATTTCTGAGCAATTCGATGAATAAATGCTACCTCAGCAAGCTGCCCCCAAAAGGTGTGCTGTGGATTCAGAGGACGAGCCTGATCCATCAAAAATATACAAAGAATGTCAGTACTAACTATTTTACTAACTATGCTGTACATAAAATACAATAAGACGTTTTATTACATTTTTTATATTATTGTTTTAATTAGTAACATGTTTATTTTAATAAATTATAATGCTTATTTCAGTAACAAGGCATACGTCATTTTGCGAACCCTTCCAGTATACATATTTGTATACTTACCTCAACAATTTTAAACAGCTGTGTCTCAGAAACTGTTAGGTGTAAGTTGACATAATTAGTCTCATTTTGTTGGGAATTTAGTGGACTTTAACACCTTAAAAAGTAACTTTTCCCATACTCTCCTTAGGGGCAAAAAATGTCAAAAACTAAAAAAAATATAGGTAATTACTTTTTTTTTTAATTTTGCAAACTTTTAAATAGCCATATCTTATAAAATATTTGGCCTACCTAAACCAAGTTCTATTTTATTGCAAATTTAGTCTACTTAATAAGTGTTCATTGTTACTTTTGCCGTAACACACGTCCTTGGTAGTAAAAATTGACAAAAACCAATAAAAGTCCTAAAATTTAAAGAACTTTTTAATATTTCTCAATGACCGAAGGGCTTTTGAGGTGGAAAATTTGGATTTGTTATTACCATCTCATCATTACCAATGTATAAAAAAAATCAGAACTACCTCATTTGATGTAAGGCAAAAAGTACCACTTCCATGGACTATTTGGGTTTGAGTTTTAAAATGGTTTTAATGTTGTAAATAAAAAAAAACTAGTTTTAAAGTTATCTTGTAGATATTTTGCGGGTACTTAAAAGATGATTTTCTGTAACTGCAAAAAAGGTTGTATCAACAGTTGTCGTTGCAGGAGAGCAGGATTGAAATGCTGATGTGTGACGACATTAATAAACCATTCATTGATGACACACCATCAAATGACGATTTTGACATTCCTGAGCAGTTCGATGAATAAATTCTACCTCAGCAAGCTGCCCTCAAAAGGTGTGCTATGGATTCAGAGGACTAGCTTGGCATTTAATACTGGTTTTAAGTTTTCTAATAAGATTTATTAATAAGGGTAATTAATCTTAAAAGTTTGTTTGTCTTATTGTAGTTTTAAAATGCTTAAGTTTCAATTAAGTTTAAAACTATTTAGTTTTATAAAGACTAGCAGATTGTTTGGTTTTATTATATTCTAGTTTGTGACATTATAGTTTTTAAGTACTTTTAAAGAGATTTTTAATGTTATGTATTATCAAATCTGCTTGATCTTAGGACAATTTGGTCAGCAATTATTGCGTTTTAAAACTATTTTATTACTTTACCTTATAACGACTTTTTTAAATGCAATTATAAAGCTAAAATAAAACGGAGCGCGCTTAACTAAAACACCTTGGTTATCACAAAGACAATCTGTACTTCTTGTTAGATACAATAAAACTAAACTCATCTCCTCTTACGTGGTCCAAATATAAATTGCTTTTTTTTTGATAAAAGAATGATGTATACAGTTTTAAAAAAAAATTTCCATAAGATAAATCTATCTTTAAAAGTATACATGTAAGTAACATTATTAGGTCCACTTCAAAACTGCTTGTGTTTAAAATGTATTTAAACTGGTTTTAAAAGGGTCTTCTCATCAGCTTCAAAATCACTTATTAAAGGTAATATAGTTTTATGGTGGTTTTAATTGTTGGTTTTATTGACCTCTTTCAGAGTGCGCCCTTTTATGCTGAAGGCGTATTTATTACAACCTTAAGCTTCTTTTAAATCTAACAGGTTTTAGTTGCAGTTTTATTCTACAGTATTAAATCATCCTTGAAGTACTGAATAAAATCATTCGGTAATACTTAAGATGTTAAAACTAAAGGTAATGAAGATTCTTCTGTTGATCTGCAAATGGACCACAATCACGAAAGAAATCAGAAGAAATTATTAACAGACAAATGTTGAGTAAAAAGGTGAAAAAGGTATCTTTTAATATCAGTAAAAAACCCTTAAGCTGATTCACAAGGAATTAAAGAATGAAGACGTAGATACGATTACTTTACATGACATAGAGAGAGTAAGAAAATATATTTATTAAGCTAGAACTTTAGTTTATTATAAATTTATTGAAAAAACAAATCTCCGTTACACAATCAGTAATTAATTTTTAATTCTAGTATAAGTCAAATAAAAATCCTAAACGAAAATATTTAAAAAAAGGCTGTCTACTAATCGGCAAACAAAATTAATTACCTCAAATCGAAATTAAAATTCTTTGAAATTTGCGAAAAACTTTTTTAAAGCTATGCGTTTTTTGAAAATATAATAACTGACATAGTCAATTCAGTAGTATTTGCACGATTGAAAATTTTGCATACTACAATAGTCGAACCTGAAGAATTTATTTCATTCTTAAAAATAATTTCTCAGAACCTAAAACATAATAATTTACCATTGCCTATTACTCATTCAACTTTAGCTCAATATTTAGAAATAATTAAAATAGAAGCTTATTAAACCAATATAGACCTCGTCTTCGTTCTCAAAATACCCTTAATAGAGCAACATATTTTTATTCTCTTTAATTTATACCCCATTCCGATTTATAATAATAGAACAGACCTAAATTATATTTTGAGTGTTTTACAAAGATATTTAGCAAAAGACGATGATGCCTTAACGTACATTCCCGTCAAGAATCTGCACCAGTGCAAACCTTTAGGACCTTTTAAAATACTGTGCAGCGATCTATACTCGTTCCCAATAGATGACAACGCCATATGTGAGGCACCACTATTTTGGAACTATAAATCATTACCGGACAATTATTGTGAAAACACTGTGTTTTACAATAAGGCTACAATGTTCAAAAGCTTAAGGAAAATACGGGGTTAGTGTTAATTGACAAACCAGTGAAAGTAACAATAAACTGTAAAAATTCGAATCTAAAGACAATCTCAATTCTTAAGAACTCAATATTCACCTTGCAGTCAGGCTGTTAGTTGCAATTCCTAGAATGGTTATCATTGACCTCTAGGATTTTATTCAGCTAAGTTGCATTTCTTGTAAATGCAACACTTTCGTCACCCTATACCTTTTTTGCTATATCTTTTGTTTTACCTACCTTATAAATAGGGGTAATACAAATTTAGTTCATAACAACTCACCTTCCAGAAACATGCTTCATAATTTTTAGTAAAAAAATATATTTTTTTTAAAAACTATAAGTGTTCTTCAAGATATAACATACATGTCCCATGTTCTAACATTTTTTTGGTAAATTTTCAATAAAGTACCTTTTACTTATGTTTCTTTTACTTTGTAGATAGGTACCTACAAAAATTACATTTGACAATACTGATTAAATTTTCGTAGAATTTTAGTGGTAATAAAATTTGCACCGCGGATGCTTCTGCAAAAATTTTATTATTTAACGATGGATTTTTATTCCCTTCAATAAAAATTTGAAACAATTCTTCCATTTAAGTCACCTGCAAAATGTGAGCAGCTTGATGTATAATCTTTTTTTGGCATAACCAGACGTTTCTTGGCCTCGGCTACGCCTCGTCCGCAAATTTCTGATTCGAACAGAAAAGATCAACTTTACGGCCTTGGTACACAAATAACTTTCATAATATTATATTATTTTAATCCACCCAGCACCCCTATTCACTTATATTCTCGTAAAAATGATGTCAATTAAAAACTAGCAAATTTTTATGTAAAAATGTATGTCATTATTTGCACAAGATACTGAACTTATGTTTTTTGTAAATAATAGCAATACCTATAAGTACATATGCTTGGTGTTTAATCAAAAAGATCTCAAACTAAGGGGGCGTGTATTATTATTAATATTTATATAGCTGTTAAAATATTAACGATAAAAAAGCCTAATGTAATTTAATAATATTAAATCCTACCTTGTACAAAAATGAGTATAACCAAAAATAACACATGAACTGTCACAAAAAATGTCATTTTTCTTGGCACTTAACGCACTCACACATCACGAAAAATTCATCTCTCAATCCAATCGAAAACAACCCCCGACCACCCTCAAACCTCATCACTCAACCATACCAGAAACTGAAATACCGTCAAACGTGTGTCCGAAATCAGTAAACAGTACGCACATGCAGATCGAGTCAGATGTCACGCGCCTGCAACTGTTTCCAAGCGTCAGCGGCCGTTTTTAAAAGACAAATGAAGGAGCAATCCAGAGCGAACCGCGATCTGGCAAGCCATGCGCTCTCCCACTTATCCTGTGTATTCCTGCTCGGCCCGAAAGGATTTTGGAAAATAGGGATGTAATAATTTATTAATTGGATGATTCTGGGGATTTGGGTAAGGCCCCCGAAAAGGTTTGATGATGAATATTGGGGATGGATTTAGAGGTTGTTTCGGCGTTTTTGAGAGAAAGAAATATACTCGTTGTTGCGGGATTTGAGTCGATTTTCTAAAACAGATTGTTTGAATGAAATATTTGAGCTGAAAAATAAAACGAAATTATTTTTGGAAGCAGTGTTACCATCAAAATACCAGTAGGGGTTAGGTGTGTTATTAATCCCCAAAGCCCTAGACTTGATAATATTCGTAATTTAACACGATGCTTGATCCTGACCTAATTTAAATAGTTGGTTAAATTCAAATTTTTAATAGTTCACACTGATAATACAGGTCATATTATGTGTAGAGTAGGTATTATTCTTGTACTTGGTCAAAGCATCATTCCGTTGGATAATAAGGGCTAAAAGGTAAAGTTATGCAATCCAGGTGGCACGTACTGAAACAGCTCAATTTTAAATGTATTATTTTTTGTATTTTATATAAATTTAGGAAAATAATAATTAAAAAAGCAGTGATGACTCGTGATTATTTAAAATGGGTGTTCACTCTTTCCAATAATTTTATCTTTTGTAAGTTTGGTTCAAAACTTTGTACAAAAGCCAATATCGCTGTTTTCTTTATATTATTTGAGTTTGTATTAAGTGTAGTTATTATTATCAATATCATACTATTTTCAAGCACTACAACTATTAATAAATAAATATTTTAGTTAGTGTAATATTTGTTTTGTTTTTAATACGTTAAAAACCATCTATAAACATTATTAGTTAGTAAACTGACTTTTCCTTATAATTTGAGATTTAGTTTTTTACTTCTTTCTTAAATTCTCATGTACACACAATTCTATTGCATGTATTTCATCCTGAAATACAGTGGCATGTTTTTCCAGTGAGACGATAATGTTGCATTTGGGTTTAACTCCATGTACGCCAGAGCCTGGTCCCTTGTTAGTTTTGGATCCACCCTGGACGAGTCAATGTGATCTGATCCTATATTTAATATAGAATTATTTACTTTATGTAATATTCTGGTAAGTTTTATATGTCCCAGTGGGTTCCAGTTGTTGGAGATTTCCAGTCTGTATGCACTCATTCTGGCCTCCCTCTTTATGACTAGGTCAAGGGGCGGGAGGTTTAGAATTATTTCCATAAAGGCTGTCGGTGTACTTCTCAGTGCTCCTGTAATAGAAAGGCATGCCAGCTTCCTAAGAAGGTATTATCTGGTTTAATTTTTGCCTCCCACAACCGTTACATAAGTTATCATGGGTCTTTTTATTGCCAAATATAGCTAGTGGACCATTTTTGGTTTTAATTGGTCTCACGAGTAGCTAGGGAAATAGGTGTTTACACGATCAGAGCCCCGCATGACCGGGTAAGGCTAGATACAAGAGGATTTTTCCATGTGCCCCCAGAGGAACGTTCGCAACCGCTTTCCCAGCAGCCATTCAGCTTTCAGCACGTTGCCTTATAGCTTGGGTTATTGATGAAGTGCCATTTAATTAGTTAGTGCTGTTCATAGAGCAGCAATATTGAGATATCCAGCGGTGACACGAGGAGGCAGACACTCGATGATTGTATTTCTCTATTGACATGCAGAAAGAGTCACCTACAAGCGGACAAGCAAACAAGCAAGAAATTTAGGCTACAAAGTGATGGTTAAACTACAACCAACCCCGCCTCCAGATTATACGAAAGTAAATTGTCTGGGAGTTTTTGTTACAGCTTTATTACGATACACCCGGAACAAAATTTTACATTAAGTAAGATTATTTTTACAGTAAAAAAAATTCTCTACTTAACTTAATTTCCTCACTTCTATCACTGCAGTAAACACTCTTTAAATCTCTTCATAAGTTTTTTTTTGGATGTTCGAAAAGCCTTTGACCATGTCTGGCATGCTGGACTAATCATGAATATAGGTATTCCCCTTAATATCTCCATACTTATACATTAGTGATAGAATTATCAGTCAGATTAGGCAACGCCCTGTTGTACTCGTTTAGTAGCGAAAGAGTTAAGCGTGCCGGATAACGTTGTAGGTATCTGTAAAAACTCTTCTAATATACCTGCTTTGTAAAATTCAGAATCTATAGCTACAAAATAGGAGGGACGAATTTTCCAGCAAAACTTTTAGAAATATGTCCATTTTAATTCGTTATATTTTCCTTCTATAAAAATTTGTAATTTGGTATTATAACACATGCAGATATAAAAATTTCCAATGTTCAAATACTAGAATTATTTAATTAATTTAATTTTATGCTTGTGGTACTGCCACCGCCACTGGTTTTTGCTTTATGTTTACTTATTTTTAATCTTTGTGATGACTTGCAGCCCATAATCTGTAAAATGTCCGATACCAATAATATAATGTACTAATTAAGCATTTAATACCTGATGGCAAAAACCATCAATTCATTTAAAAAAATGTTTAAATTTTAATTTCACGTCAATTTTCATTCTTATGTAGCGTCTTCTTGCATCCCCCATAAAATTGGTCTACCGTTATTACTCCTAAATTTAATTATTTGTCGTAATAAAAATTTTATTTGATTCTAAAATTAGCGTTGCAAGTGGAATGTAGTTAACCAGTGTTTTCGTGATGGAAAACTCCCTAGATAAATCCCGGATTTTGACCCAACTGCAGGATTAAGACTAGCAGTTAATACCATCTATTTTATTATAAGTAAAATCCGATTTTGTTCTACTTTTCTTATTCTATGGGATAGTATTTTGTTGGATTTTATAATTGAAAAGTTTATTCCGTTCTAGACCCTCTTTCTCGCTAGCATTTTATCGTGCTAAGCTACTTAGGTTTAACCCAATTAACGACTTTGGAGTGAAAATTTACGAGCAACTTTCAGCAAATAAAACTGTAAATAATTTTGTTTTTGTTTTTTTTTTTAAACATCCTTTTACTAATATATTATTAGTCCAATATTCCATAACAGAAATATCTACGTCACAACAAAACAACATTTATTTTGTTGAAATCAACATAGGATACTTTCTTTGTATGAAGGACTATAGTAGGATAATCGTATTGTAAAAGATTTTTAAGACAATACGAACTAACATCTATTGATACTATGATTTATTTAACTATTTTACTTACTAATTAGCTACGCCCTCTACATACGTTTTTAGACTGGCAGTGCATAACAAAACCGACTTAAAATTTTTATATCGATGCAACAAATCAGTGAATCTACAGGATATTTTAGAGTTGCAGTAATTAAGAGGATTATTTATTTGGCTTTAGAGTAAAGCATGCAAGGGTTTCGTAGTACCCCCACTTTTAAAGTTTATTTTTGACATATTCTAAAAGACAAAATATGTGCGTGTAGGTAAAGGTTAAACCTGTGCTCCTGTGGAGACACTTTTAAAATTTGAATCTGTTTTTAACACGCTTATATTAAATTTACCTGTATGTATGTATGTTTGTACTCTCCTTTGGACTCAAGTGGCTTATTACTGTCAGTATATCCCACTAAGTCAAGTTGGTTCGTTGGCCGAGCGGTCCAAGGCGCGGGTTTTTGATTGCGAGACTCACCTATCATGGGTTCTAATCCCCACGGCTAAAAACAAAATATTTTTTTTTTCAGCAATTTCAACTTTCAACTAAAAAGTAAAAAATAAATATAGTTTAAAAAAACTAAAAAACACGCTTTTCGAGCACATGAAACTAAAAACTTAAAAATATTTTTTTACGCTTTTATTCAAATAAGCTTAAAACAATAATAAATGGAAAATACTAGTACACAATAATAGTATTTTCCATTTATTATTGTTTTAAGCTCATTTGAATAAAAGCCTGTTAAAAAAAATATTTTTAACTTTTTAGTTTGATATTAGAGCATATCAGCTTGTTTTTTAGTTTTTTTAAACTATATTTATTTCTAAAAAAATACAAAACTCGACTTAGTTTACCAATTTTCTCAATTTTTTTTTTAGGAAAAACTAAATTGAATTTGGAAAAGTGGTTCCAGAAGAGTATAGATTTAACCCATACGTACATATTTTTTTCATTTAAAAATAGTCAAAACTAAACTATAAAAGTGGGGTACTACGCAACCCTTACATTGCAAGATTTTTCGTTTGAAAAGTGGCGCCTCTATTAGATTTTTAAGAAATTAATATTTGTGAATAAAAACATTTTATAATATATTTTACTGTAGGGAAATGTATTCAAGATGAATACCAGAAACAGACCGTTATTCCTTGTTGTCACGGACCCTACATTGACACTGGATTATCTGAACAAAAATGTTAGAAGAGTCCTATATACGAAATAAAAAACCCGATTATACCGTCAGAGCAATACGGGTTCAGAGCTGGTTACAGCACATTTGCATAGGTTATAAGAATAGCAAATCACGCTAAAAAAGCGTTCAATAACAATCAGCAGACTGTTCTGGTGGCATTAGATGCTGCAAAAGCCTTCGACATGGTTTGGACTGACGGTATAATCTATAAAATTTTTGTGAAGAATTACCCTGTATACATTGTTAACACAATTCTAAGCTACTTACAAAACAGAACATTTAAGGAGGTCCTTTCGCCACACATCTCGCCTCCAATGTTAAAAAAAAAGTTATTAGATTATGACTAAAATTAATGTTTTTCTAATAGTTGAAGTCCTTATTTATCTAACACTGAACTTTTAACTATACCTTACCTTGCAAATTTTTGAGAATTTTTTTTTTAAATGTGAGTATTTGTACAGTGCCCCACGAGAAAGTAAGTCCTCAACAACAATTCTCGAATAGGTTTGCAAGAAATCGCTTCTGAAAATATTATACAGTGTATCTTTGGGGAGTCCAAATTAAATGAGTTTGCGCAT